GTTTTAAGGGTCACGGAAAACCACTGCGGCCTTTGAACCGCATCTCTCCGGCTGCTGCGCGCGTAACAGGCCGTGGACCGGGAGGGTGGAAGCAGGGGCGCCGGGAACCGGCTCACTGCCGTAACCAGGCTAGAGATGATGGTGGCTTGGGCTGCGGTGGCCGCGGTGAAGGCCATGAAAAGCGGCCGGATTACGGACGGACTTTGGAGGGACAGCAGAGGACCCGGCTGCAGGGTGAACAGACAAACCAACAGACGTTTTCATAGAAAACGGACAAATGCTCAGGACCAGCCCCTCGTCACCGCTCTTCACAGACCTCCCTTGTGCTCGATGCCAGCTCAGCTGTCACAGAGGGAAGCCTCTGCTGGGCGGCCTCTGTCAGCTGATGCTTTTTCTGAATGGCTGTGGATGTGCACAGTCTTCTGGAAAGTTGCTCTTGCTTCATCCATCACTCCATGCTGCTGTCTCTTTGCCAGGGAAGCTGTCTCTGTGCGTGCAGCCTTCAGGGTATCTTGGTAGCTCAGCTTTGTTTGGAGAGCTCTTTTTGGCTAGTTAAACATCACAGTCTGTGTTTTGTGTTGCTTTGTCTTATTTTCCCAAAGAACTAAAATGTTTTTGGGGTATGATTTACATACATCAAATACACAAAGCTTAAATAAGCAGCTTAATGTGTATACCTGTGAAATGTCCGCCCTAAATAGGGCTAGAACATTCTTAGAGCCCAAGATGGTCCCCCCAGGCCCCTTTTCAGTCAATCCCTGTCCCCCCTAACCTCTGTTCTGACTTCTTTTTCGCTCTGAATTAGTTTGGCCTATTCCTGAACTTCATCTAAGAAAATCTTTAGTACTCATTGTTAACTGTCTGGCTTCTTTCGTTCAACAAAACGTGTTTGAGATTCATCTATGTTATTGACTGTGTCAGTAGTTTTTTCCCTGGATGAATAAAGCAATTTTTAAAAAGTCACCATTTGGTGGACACTTGGGTTGCTTTCAGTTTGAAGCCATTATGATTAAAACGGCAATGAAGCGTTATTCACAATAGCCACTTAGGAAACCACCTAAATGTCCATCGACAGATGAATGGATAAAGAAAATGTCGTGTCTACACACAATGGAGTATTATTTAGCCTTCAAAAGGAAGGCAATCCTCCAAGTGCAATAGTGTGGATGAAACTGGAGGACATTCTGCTCTGTGAAACAAGCCAGTCACAGAAGGACAGATACTACATGATTCCACTTAGATGAGGTGTGTGAAACAGCCAAATTCATAGAAGCGGAAAGTGAAATTGTAGTTGCCAGGAGCTGGGAGGAAGGGGAAACTGGGAGTTGCTATTCAGTGGGAATTGTTTCATTTATGCCAGATGAATAAGTTCTAGAGATCTGATGCACAACATCACACCTGTTGTCAACAAGACTGTTTTGTGCACTTAAAATTTTGTCAAAAGTATAGATCTTATGTTAAAGGTTCTTACTACAACCCACTCCCCCCCAAAACCTGCAATGAACATTGGGTACAACGAACATTGTTTTACACATATTTTTATTTCTTTTCTTTAAATTTTTATTTATTTATTTTATTTTTATTATTTTTGGCAGGGAGTAGTTAATTAGGTTTTATTATTTATTTTTAGAGGAGGTACTGGGGATTGAACCCAGGACCTTGTGCGTGCTAAGTATGCACTCTACCACTAAGCTATACCTTCCGCCCTCATTTTTTCATTTCTTTTTGGTAAATACCTAGGAGTGGAATTACTTGGCCACAGGGTTGGTGTATGTTATCACACTTTATCAGAGTTTTGTTTTTAATTTAGCTTTTATGCGTGGGAAGTCACACTCGCCTTATCTAGATACGTCCACGTAAGGACTTCCATCATCAAGCCTTAGAAGAAAAACAATGCGTGGTGGTGGTGCTGAGAAGAGGCGGTAGGAGGATTCTGATGATGCTTGTGCAGTACTTAACCATGTGTGGCTTTCTCTGTATTCATTTATTAAAGCCTTACAACAACGCTAAGAGGAAGGTATTATTATTCTTATTTTGCAGTTGAAGAAACTCAGCCTCAGAGATGTTAATGAATGCTCTCCGAGTCACTCAAACCCTTATTGAAGAAGCTCGTGTTCTTTCTGCTAATTCTACAACCTCCTGTAAGAGGTCCTAATGGATGTCATCTCTCACATCTTTCCGTGATGCCCTAATTAGCCTTGAGGGTGGCTGCTTTGCTTTGATGAGTCATTTTCTGTATTGGTTTTCCCCTTTTCCTATCAATTTGCCCCATCCCCTTCATCATCTCCTCTCTCCATCACCAAGCCCCGTTATAGTTTACCTAAACCCCAGAAGTGGACATCCTTGAATCAACATCTCTAAATGGTTAGAAGGGTCTTCCCTCAAAACTTCTTAGTTGTTCTCTAAAATCTTTTGTTGTTTTTGTGAGGAATTGTGCCTCAAATCATTTATATAAAGAGAGTGTTTGACTCCATGGCCTAACATCCAGTTTGCTAGAAAGTGGGCGCCCTCTTGTGGACCATATAATACCAAAGAGAGAGAGTCATGAAGTGTTAAAACAGTCTATAAACACAATAGCCCCACCAATGTACAGTGAATCCTTAGTTATGAATTATAAAAGCAGTAATTTACTTTCTCACGATAATGGAGGTTGGAAAGTCTCAGATCAAGGAGCCAACAAATTTGGGTACTGATGAGAGCCCTCTTTCTGGCTTGTAGCTGGCTGCCTTCAGCTCACCTGGCCTTCCCTTGATGTTGGCACACAGAGAGAGAAAGTAGGCTCCCTGGTGTCTCTTCTTGTAAGGATCAGGGCCCTGCCCCATGACCTCGTTTAACCTTGATGACTTCTCCAATACAGCCACACTGTGGGTCAGGGCTTCAACATATGAATTTAATGGGGGAGCAGGGCACATTCAATCCCTAACATACACCAAAGGGCTTGAGTGAAGATTGAGTGATATAATGATGCTAAAAACTGGCTCTTTTCTGGTTGTAGCATACAGGTAACACCAGGAGACTTCTTTGCCCCTTAAGATACCTGTCACGTCTATCGTGTTCAGAGCCATTATTCTACTTAAAACGTCTACTGTAGGAAAAATATTTTTGCCACCCTTGCAAGATTCCTGCTTTCTTGGATCATAGCCTCTAACAAAGAATAAGACTGGACCATGCTTTGTCCGTGGTTAATACGTCCATGATAATACGTCCGATTATTTCTCACATTTGTGTTGCCTTCTGTAAGCTACCAAACCATAGCACAATCCGTTTCCCTCTTGCAGAGTTAACTCCTGCATTCTTAGTGGCTTTGGCTAAAGGAGTTCAAACCACCTTCGCCTTCCTGTGACATACTTTCAGAAGGTGGGGCAGTTAGAGATCTTTTGTAAGTGTATTCCTTTAAAAACATGAAACAACTCAGTACATTCTGACTCAGCAATTCCACTTATTGGAATGTGTTCTAAGGCAATACCTGGAGGCACACATACAATTGCAAATTCAAGGATATTGACTGCAGCATTGCCCGTGATAAGCAAAATCAACTGAATCCACAGCACGGGCTTAGCTACGTCTAGTACATCTACTGAATGGAATTATATGTAGCCATGGAAAAGCATGTTCTTGAGGAATATCTATGGATGTGGGAGAACATTTATAAGCCAGTCTATAAACCTAATGTGACTAACATTTTTATGAAGAAAAATAAGCATGGAGGAAGATCTAGGACATACACCAGGATGTTAGCAGTAGTTATTTTGGACAGTGGGATTAAAGTTAGCATTTTCCTACTGTGTCTTTCAGCTTTTTGCATTGAATAACTATTAATTATGGATATAGGAAAACGTTAACAGACAGTAGTCTTTAAAAAGCCGAGGCATCCAAGGACTGACAGTATTTTTGGTGGGGCTCTGAATTGGGGAAAATCTGTTGGGGGAGGACTGAGCACAAATGAACATTCTAGGGAAGGATAATTTACGGGGAAAAAAAGGTGTCATTTCAACTCAATGACCCCTTGAGAGATGTGGTGGCCAACACTTATGTGGATAAAAGTTTATATTATTATAACATATGCGTATATAAATAATAAAAACTAGAAGGAAACAGATGATCTGTCAAGATTGGGATTCATAATTTTTTCTTTTTAATATATTTTTAATTTTTAACTGTTAAATGTTCCAGAATGGACATGTTTTCATGTTATAAATATTCTTTTTCCTGACCCAGTGAATGAAGAGGTTGAACTCTCAGGAAAAGTTCAGTTTAAAGGCCTGGAGGACAAGGAATATGCAATATTCTTGTTGTTTTCTCCTCAGCATCCAGCCTGGGGCCAAGAGAATTTTGGGAACTGGATTGGATGCCAGCGGGATGGTTAACATGTCAAGCGGGGTCTTCTGTGACACCCGTGATCCTTCTTAGTGTGAATAGTGTAAAAATTGGTGATTTATTATACTGTGAAATAAAGAAGATGAAATAAAAACTGGTGGCATGAGGACTGTTTTCAGAATTGGGAACAGAACGTTTCTGCTTCTTCTGGAGAAGAAGTCAGCGCTAAAGAGAGAAACCCCTGGCTGAGGATCAAGCGCTCTTCTGCACACACAGCCAACCATCAGCTGCTTATGCTGTTCCGTGACCAGGCTCTGTGGATCCGCCCTCAGCCCCTGTCTCTCCTCCAGCCAGGCGGGGGACATGGATTTGATAATTACGTAGGGATGTGTGGTCATGGACAGAAAGCTTCAGGAGATGTTGGCACCATCTGCTCAGCCTCTTGATGGTCCAAATCCAAAACAGATGGCTGGGTCTCCTCTGAAACATGTAAACCCAGGATTCTGAAGCCCTGTCACAGCCTCTGAGGCTGCCCTTCTTAGAAGAAGGTCAAAACCCCAAAATGATTTTGAGACAGGAGAGAAGGGGGCAGGGCACAGCCATTAAAAAAAAAAATGACAGAGCAATTAGCACCAAGGTGGTGGAAGATTCAACTCCCCAGTAGACCTTGAGCTTCAATACCCGCTCCTTGAAACAGAGTAGCTGCTAAATAGTACTCTCACAGGCATCTTGACAGCTCGGGGTCTAACCATAAAAGGTCAAGAAGTGGGTGATGGCCAAATTCCTGGCAATCCCAGCCCCTTCCCCAAAGTAGTTGAAATAATCCTCCCACTTGTTAGCATATGAAGTTACCGAGAACACAAAAATGAACAACTCTGCATCCCGGGCGCGCTCTCTCTCTGTTTTTTTGCCTTTCTCTTGCCTTTTGAGATGGTCCACACTCTATATATCTCTCTGAATAAATCTACTTTTACTCAACTGTGGCTCGCTCTTGAATTCTTCCCAGCGTGAAGCTGAGGACCCACGCTTGCTGAGGTGCATCCCAGGGACTCGACTGAGACCTGGGACACAGCCATCCTCTCCTGCCCCATTTTTCCTGTATCAGCATGAGTCCTATCAAATTAAATTCCCTCCGAGAATCCAGAGAGAATAGTCCTCAGTGAAGGAACAGTAACAATTAAGTTCCCTATTTACACAGCATTTGGTACACCCTAAAGTCTTTCTCCTGCACAGCTGAAATTCTCTTGACCTTTAGTAATAAAAGAGGCAGAACAGGTGAGGTCTCATTAGCCCCATATTACAAAAGAATAAACCAAAACATAAGATTCAGTGTTTTTTCCTTTTGGTGTGCAGTCACAGCCCCTCTATTCACAGGGCATCAGTAACTGACGTGCTTGCACGTCTGGGCAAAGCTGTTGTTCCTGGGTGATATGTGGCATTGCTCTGGGAAGTAGCTGTCACCATAGTCTTCCCCATTGGTAATGAGAAGATCAACTTATGCTTAAAAATCTGATTCAGCACACGAACATAAACAAACCTGTTACTAATTCAGGAAGCCTCCCTAGCTGGCTTATTGACACTGACCAATTACCCCTGGAATTTCCAATAATGCCCCCGCCCTCCCCTCTCCTTCCCCTGGCACTAACTCAGATTCCTGTTGTTGAAGCGGCAGATAACACAACTGGCCCTGGATGGAGCTGCTGGCCCCTTGCGTGAAAGGATCAGCTGTACAAAAACCATTGTGCAGGTTTCAAAGGGAAATGGGATTACACTTCTCATTTGTTTTCTGGGAGGGCTGAGCCTCTCATTCTCTGGATCAAGTGAAATGTATGACTTAACCATCATCTTGCTTCCATTAGATGACCTCAAAATGGAATGACTTTTCCCAGGACAAAGAAAAATCCCCAAGCCAAGTCCCACTTGTTTCTTCTCCAACATCATCTCTTTCTGAAGAATATCATCTGTCCATGCTGCCCCGACCCCAGCCTCCAGCTCTGGCACTATTCTCTGTGACCAGCACTGTCTCCTTCCTTCAAAACACTTTGGGATCCAAGAATCCTCAGATGATCAGGAAGGACTTTGTGTCCAACAATTAAGTGTCCCTTTTGCAATTTTAGCCTGTTTCCTTGTACCCTAACTTCAGGGACAGTGGTGTTGAAATAAATTTCTAGGCTCCAGATGAAGCCACTACTGCCCACTGTGACACAGCAAACCAACCTTTCCTGTTCTCTTAAATGCCCTGCTTGATCATAAACGCAGCAAATCCCCAAATGCCAAGCCAACCCTGGGGTCTGTGCTTAAATTTCCTTGTTCCTTGGTCCTTCTAAATTAGGTCAGATATGCAGCCCCAGCCACTCATGCCCTGTTTCCGGTTGCCTCTTTATTGCTTAAGAAAACTCACGCTTGCCCCAAATACATTGGAAAATTGCTCCAAGGCTTGTGGGGGCCTGTATTCCCCCGGTCCAGGGTTCGGTTCCCCTTGAATAGAAGGCATCAAGTGCATAACGTAAATTATTTTAGCTTTGTCATCTGACGGTGGAAAACAGCTCTTCCTCTTTAGAATCACGTCTCCTTTCAGAGAAAAGCCCATCCCAGGTGTGTCTTCCCTTTACTGGAACAATTCCCAGGTGTTCATCCTTCCTCCCAGATGCCATGGTCCAACTTGGCCTCCTGGGCCATGAGAACCCTTGTAATTAGCAGAGGTTAGAGACTTTTCCTGAAATCAGTGGATAATCTTGTAGCTCTCAGCCGAGTCTGTTTCAAGTTCAAGTATTCTATGAAGCTTCAATAAATAGGAAGAGAATTGGAAAAAAATAAAGAAAGCCTCTTGTCTGATTCTTCCCCACATCCTAAAAGATGAGTGACAATGTCTTCTTTAGATCCTACAGGGGACAAAAAGCTGAAACCAAAACCCACTGAATGCCCACCTGGATATGGAGGGTAGCTTCTCAGGGACCTCCGGGCCCAGGAGAGCAAGAAGTCTCTGCTTGGTTCTCCAATGGAGTCCATGGAGATTGGTCTTGGTACAGGATGAAACAGAGCTGCTACAAAGGTCCGTGGGTCTCACATTTTCCATCTAGGATTCACCCTCATGCTTGTTAAAAATGTAGGTTCTCAAGCCCCACCTGGGACAGGCTGTTCCTGTAGGTGTTCTGAAGTGGATTTCTGCACTGAAAATCTCTCATTCTTCTGAGGGGCGGTAATTAGGTTTCTCCACTGATTTCCACTTGGAGGAGGTACTGGGGATTGAACCTGGGGCCTCTTGTGTGCTGAGCATGCACTCTACCACTTGAGCTATACTCTTCCCCCTGAAAAAGCTCTCATTCTTAGTATCTGGTAAGTCCCCACTAGGAACCTGGAGCCTGCTATGATATTTTGATTTTTCCTATAATATGGGAACCAGCAGATGCTACCTGTTAACTAAACTCTGAGTGGAACTATCTGGTTGACATAAATTCCCTAGAATTCTGTTCGTCGAAGTGTGTCCACAGACTACCTTCGTTGGAATCATGGGGATGCTTATCAAAAACGCAGATTCCTGGCTGTCACCCTCTTATGGGCATCAGAATTTCCCCACTCCAGACCCAGGAATCTGTACTTTAACAAGCTTTCCAAGGGGCTTTGAAAGACTCTGTAGCTTGGGAACTGCTTCGCTAGAAGCTAAGTCTTCTTAGTAAACGGCTGGGGATTGAACCCTGGGGAACACGGGGCTCTGCCCGCTGCAAGCTTGATGGTGCAGGCTTCACCCCTGGGCTGCCAGGGGCCAGGCCTTGGTAGAAAAGTCTGCCTCTAAAATTTCAGGTGAAATTTTAGAAGCATTACCAGGAGCTGTGTGATGTTGGGCAAGTTTCCTAACGTTTTCCTGTCTCAGTTTCTTCATCTGTAAAATGGGGACAATAATAGTGCCTACTTCATAGAATTATTGTGAAGATCAAATGAGTAATCGCACTTTAGATCCTTGGAACCGTGCCCAGCACAACATGTCAGCTGCTGCTACTTCGGCTTCTGTTATAACTGTTGTCCCTATCTCAATCCCCACCACCTTGAGGGGCAATTCTCTAAAACTCAGGGGTCAGCAAATGATGCCCCATTATCTGTTTTTGTAGCCATGCGCCTTCCTGCACGCTCATGTCTGTGGCTGCTGGCTGCTTTCCAGCTGCAACAGTAGAGCTAATTCTTGCCACAGGAACCACATGGCCCACAAAGCCAAAAATACTTACTCTTGGACCCTTAAAAAAAGTCTGCCCACTCTTCCTCAAAATACCTGGGAGCTCTGGGATTGTGCCGACTGCCTGGGGGAACAGCAAAGGCACCTGTGCTGGAGGTTCACACACAGCCCAGGGCAGAGCTGTGTGTGTGAAGTGGGAGGGACCGGGGTCTGGGAAGAGGTAAAAAAAAATGAAGGCAGCAGAGAGCAGAGAACAGTCCTGGGAAGGGGTTGGGGTGAAAGGACTTTGTCAGCCTCCTACCTCAGTCCTGAGCGGTCTGGCATGGGTATTTCTGAGGCTGGAGTGTGACCGACAACACTTAGGGGAGGGTTTTCCCTCTTCCCACCGGCTGATGGCTTCCTTCTTCCAGTCTTCACACCGCTTTCTCAACTGGTCGATTTGTAAAATGCCCTCACTGAGCTCAAAGCAAATCACTGCATCCAATACCTTAGAAAAAAATGACATTTTACCGTATTTCACCCAACACGATCACCAACTGCCTACAATGTGCCAGAAACCGGGGCAGGTACAGAAAATCAAACACGGACCTTGCCCCGCAGAGTACATAATCTACATTTAACTGCAAAGCCGTCAGTCCTTCAAATCTAGGGCTTGAGGCTCCAGGCTTGCTCACTTGACACCCTAGGACAAGAGGTGCCTGGGAGTGCAAATAACTGGTAACTAATTAACACTTGCAATCAAGACCATAAAGAGAAACACACCGGGCACCAGTGGTATCTACTGAGGACCTATGCTCCCACCCGGAGGTTTCCACTGAGCAAGGAGGGTTCTGAGCTGTTGTGTTCTTACTGCCTGTCTTTTGGCAAGAGGCTGTGTGCATGGGGAAAGGGCTAGAGTTCACTGGCTGCTTCCTGGGTTTCTGGTACTGGTGGTTTATATAGCTTATCTCACTGAATCCTTACATTAGCTCCAGGAAGTAGGTACCACTCTCCATTTTCCACATGGAAGGCAGATGCTCAAAATGCCACATCCGGTCTGTGGTGGATGTGGGGCTGAATTTCCTATCCGATTCCAAAGTCACCATTAGCGTGCATCGTTCAGATACATTTAAGAAGGAAGGGAAAGATAAAAGCACCTCTGGCTGGAGGCCGGGGAAGGTGGAGAAAGTTTAACAGCTCTACCACTGCCTGTTTGAAATCCTAACGCCCACGATTCAGCAGGGAGCAGTACCAAAACAAGTGTATTTTCCTTTTCTTTAGAAAACAAAATGACAGAGTCCTAACCCCCTACTTCCTAGCCTCCAGAATGAACTAATATTCACTTTTTCCATAATTGTTTCAGAACTGAGAAAAATAGCATATATACGAGATAAAAGTCTCCTGTGTTTTCCTCACCAGTACTTAGAGCCAGTTATTCTAAGTTGATGATTATCAAGTCCCTCCCCACCCCTTTCTTTTTAATCATAGAGATTAAAAGTCTTTGCTGACCCAAGCCATTTTAGCTGTTGAGCAAGTCCACATTCTTTTGGAAAACACTGGTGGTGGCTTCCAGTGGTCTGAGAGAGTGGGTGATGACCCTGCAGAAGAGGAAAGCTTTCTCCTTTTTTCTCTTCTAGGGTCTTTGGCTGGTTTAGTAATTAAACCGACCTAAGACAAATTAACAGGAGAAAAATAAATTTAATTTTGTGCACATGGAAGCCTACAAAAAGATGAGACCCAAAGAAGTGACCAACACAGGCAGCTTTATACCTTTTAGACAGGGAAACGATATATTTGTGAAGAACTGACAAGGCAGGGGTTTGGGCTTGGGCTAGTGAATTAGTGAAGCAGTAACAAGGTTTGTTTGTACAGCTCTCTCGACCCTGAATGACCCTCAATTCCCTATTTCTGCCCTATCTTTGACGATAAGGATGCCTTTTACCCTCCTGGTCTGTGGAGGGTGAAATCACGTGGGAGATTTATTTCCTGCTTCTAAGGAGGCAACGGAGAGTCAGAGTGTCCTCCTTGCACTGGCTGTTTCTTAAGTAACATGAATTAAAAATAATCAACGGGGGGAAAGGTGTAGCTCAGTGGTAGAACACAGTGCTTAGCATGCACAAGGTCTTGGGTTCAATCCCCAGAACCTCCCTTAAAAGTAAACAAATAAATCTAATTACCGCCCCCCCAAACCAAAACAAAACAAATCAATATTACAAAATGGCGTGTTTTGGGGTGGCATGTTCTGTTCCCTTTCAACTCTCCGTACCTTCTTTTACAACCTCACCAGCAATGAATGTGGTGAAACAGAAGCCAGCCACCCATCTCTCCTGCCATCAGAAGCTGGCCCCCAGCTGTCATGCCTCCTGTCCTATAGCTCAGGAAGGCCCTGCTGTCTGCCTCTGCAAATGCTTTTCTGACAAGAAACTGGGACTGGCTCACCTGCCTGGGCAGTAAGTCTGAGATGAAGACGTGCAGACTCCAGGCCTCAAGGAATGCTCTGATACCAAAGATCCTTAAACCTTGTGCATGCAAGAGTGGGAGAGGGTGTGAATAGATGTGGTACTGTGCTGGGACAGGCAGAGCCCAGAGTGCATGCCTCTTTCCAACACTGCATCCAGTGACACAGTGCTGGTAGCTTGCAATCGACCCCAGAGGGAATATTTACACCCTGGAAATCAGCCAACACTCACATTAGGGCTTGCTTTTTCAGAGAGCTTGTTGTTAAACATTTGTGCCTAACTGAATATATCCCATATTTTTTTTTCTTTTAGTATAAGTACATTTTCCAGTCCTTTACTATTACAAAAATATGCTGCAGTGAGTATACTATATGCGCTTTGTGTATGTATGTGTGAGGGACTTCAGAGTTGATACCTGGAAGTGAGATTTCTAGCTCATCAACTATGCACATTTCAACTTCTTAGATGGTGCTGAAGTGCTGTCCCACCAGCAGAGTATAAGATTTGCTGTTTCCTCACGGTCTTGTCAACACTTGGTATTATCAATTTTCTTTATTTATATTAGTCTGATCTTGAGGTTACATTTCATTGTTACTTGAATTGATATTTTTCTGATTACTTGGGAGGTTGAAAAAAAATTTTATGTTCATTGGCCAATTGGGTTTTATTTTTTGTGGATTTTGTGCTCATAATTTTTGCCCATTTTTCTCTTAGGTCATCTCTCTCTCTCTCTTTTCTTATTGATTTGTAGGAATTCCTTTATTAACCTGCCTAACTTACCCTTAATTCAGTTCTATACTGTATCCATATCTTCTTTCATCTGTGGCTTGTCTTTTAACTATGTTGTCTTTTGGCATAAAGAAGTTTAAATTTTGATATAGTCAAATTTATTATAATTTCCATGGATTTTTTTCTTGTTTAAGTAACACTTCAAGGTTAAAGGCAGTTTCCTGTATTTTCACTTTCAAAGTTGAGATTTTCACATTTACATCTTTAATCCAGCCAGAGTTTATTTTTGTGAATAGTGTCACAATTTAATTTTTCCCTCATACGGAAATGCTATTGTCGCAACATCATTATGGAAAAGACCAAAGTTTCCCTATCGATTTTTTGGTTCGTCTTGTATATAAACTCTCCTTATTTGCTTGCATCTGTCTTGATAACACTCTCCATTCCATTCTATAGACCCATTGTTCTTTTGTTGTTTTTTTTTTGACAATATCACACTCTTTCCCATAACTCTATAAAAATTCTTTATATTCTGTTAGATCCACGCCTTTCTCCTTGTTCTTCCTTTTCAGAATTTTCTCACCTATTTTTGGAGGTTTCCTCCTTCATGTGAATTTCAGAAAGAGTTTGTCAGTTTCTCAAATTCCACAAAAAAGCCTGTTAATATTTTTATCGGAATAACATTGAATTTGTAAACCAATATCCAAATAATGACCATCTTTATTATGCTGAGTCTTCCTATTCCTGAATATTTCATACATATATAAATATATATGTATAAAGCAACAGGGATATCCTGTATAGCACAGGGAATTATAGCCATTGTTTTTTAATTACTTTTAATAGAGCATAACCTATAAAAATACTCTGTACTATTCTGTACACCTGAAACTAATATAATATTATAAATCAACTACACTTCAATAAAAACAAAAAAACAAAACAAATATACAAACAACAACAAAAAATATATGTATCTGTGTGTATAGTTAGATCTTATATTCCTCCATAACTGCTTTGTAACATTTACATATAACTCTAATTCATTTTCATTAGATTTAAGTACTTTATAATCATTTTACAGATTATTTTTATTCCTATTGCAAAATGGATCTTTTATCTGTTATGTGGACAGTTGTTCCTCGCGTATAGGAATGTCATTTATTTTTATGTGCTGCTCTTGATAATTAACTTTTCCAAACTTTTCCCTGGTCTCTAAAACTTGAGCTTTCCTGTTAAACCTAGTATCTGTCCTCAAATGGGGCAAAGACATTTTCTTTGATGAATTCAGTGCTACAGAACATATTGTCAGGGATCAAAGTTTCTAACGTGACAGCCTGGGCAAGGTCCAAGTATTTATCACAAGGTGTCTTCGCTAAAATCTGTTCACTTGCAACCATGATTTGGACGAGATTCCCTTGCATTCTCCCTCTCATCTTGTTTTTTGCCCACATAGCAGCTGTGTCGGTAAGTAGCATTTTACTCTTCAGGGTATTAAGAAATATTAATTGCAGTCTACATTATCCATTTTCTGTATATCTATTTCCTTTCAGATTAAGCATCTTTCTAAAGGAAATGGTAAGAATTAACTGAAATGCATAGAGTGTTTCTGAACTTTCTTTCGTTCGGCAAGACTCATAACAATCTTCCTTCCCACGTTTAACAGAACACGATGGAGATTTTGATGAACAGAAGGATATTTCAGAAATCAATTTAGGTGGGTGAAATTCCTGCATTATTAATGGCTTGAGAGAGTTTAAAATCCTGTGATAGAATTGCTGAAAACTCTTATCTTCAATCTGGTGATTCTGCCTGAAAGTAGTTCGTGTTTTATAGAAAAGAATGCTTGTCAAACATGAGGGTTGTAATAAGTGACATTCTTTTAAATGCCTATCGTTTTCCCACAGGGGTCTTCCCTTTTAAGGATCGTACTTTCAGAAACAGTCTGAGACCAGAATCAAGGGCTACCATCAGGGAGAAAGTACATTCTGCTAAGCTCCTGGAAGCAGATGTTTGCAGTTTTGAATAGATCTACCCATATTTGCCTGTTCTTCTTTATTATAAAGGCAGTACATTCAGCTTGGCTTTGGAGGGTGCCATTGTTTTTATTTCCCCCCATGGGGAAGAACAAAATCAACCCAGTTAACTAGGGTTGGGAAGAAGGATGGTATAATAGCGGAAAGGGCCCTGGGTGGGAAGTCAGGAGTGCTACAGCTCACTCAGCTGCTGACCACCCAGGACCTCACATCCTGTCTCAGGACGTCCCATTTTGACCACCACAGGGTGAGAGGTTTTGAGCCGATGACCAAAAAGATTCCTTCCAACCCTTACTTTTAAGATTCTTGGACAATGTTTCTTTTTCTTCATTGATGTATAGTTGATTTACACCATTATATTAGTTTCAGGGTACAACACAGAGATTCAATATTTTTATGGATAATATTCCATTTATAGTTATTGTAAATTATTGACTATATTCCCTGTGCTGTACAATATATCCTTGTAGCTTATTTATTTTATACACAGTAGTTTGTACCTCTTAATCCCCCACCCCTATCTTGCCCCCCTTCCCACCCCCTTCTCTCTCCCCACTGGTGACCATTGATTTGTTCTCTGTATCTGTGAGTATGTTTCTGTTTTGTTATATTCCCTAGTTCATTTTATTTTTTAGATTCTACCTATAAGCAATAACATAGAGCCTTTGTCTGACTTATATCACTAAACAGAATACCCTCTAGGTTTCTTGTTCCAAAAAATAAAACAGAGGATGTGACAATACATGATATTTATTGGCTATTTGCTATTAGAAGGAATTTTTGCATTGTTTCAAAAAGAGTTTCACCACATAAAAATTAACAACTAAAATTTTACAATGGAAAAGATTCACTTTATTATGTGAGATGCCTTTTAGTAATTCTCATTCAAGTATTTCTGTTCTTAAAATCCATGTCTAGCTGCAGGCTTGGACCTCTTTCAAGGGGACATCCTCCTGCGGGTGAGTGCCTGCCAGTGACACAGAAACTGTCCCCAGGACTGCCTGTATCATAGGATTGAGCCTCTGCTCTGTGTCCAGCCCTGGGAGGGCAACTGTGGAGGAGAAGAAAAAAATCTCATTGATAATTGGTACCATGTGGTTACTGGTAACAAAAACAGACTAAAACATTGGCAAACAGTACAGAAGAGTCTACAATGATGAAATTGCTTATCCATCCAATTTTCTTAATAAGTGATGTATGAGAGAGATGGAAATTGGCCACCATATTTTAAGTGGCTCTTTCAGTTTCAAGGAGTTGTAGGTCTCCTTTAGTTGGTTCTCAATGATTTCTCTAAATTTTCCAAATGGTCTATAATGCACTTCTATCGTTTTTACAATCAGAAGACAAATGCTACTGAACTGTCTGGATTGTGTGATGTTGTTTGTGGTGTGAGAGTTTAGAGAAGGAGGAGGCTAGGGAGACAGCCGTCCAGTCACTTTTGCCTTTGTTCCTACAGAATCCCAGAAATGGCCTGAGAGACCCCAACACCACGTGGAAGTTCCCCATCCCTTACATTCTGGCCGACAACCTGGGTAATATTCACTGATGCTCATTAGGAGCTTTGAGTTGAACTCTTCTCCCTTCCCTTTCCTCCTGACCGTCAGCTTCAGACTTGGAGTAACCCAACGTATAAGAGGGTGTTTCCAAGACGATTCTTTATCTCACGGCATGAATGGCATGACGTTACATCGAAGCCAGTGCTGCTTAACCAGTCTGAGATCAGAGTACCAAGTAATAATTTTTAAAATGCAAAACACACTAACATAAGACCAGACGCAACACAAGGAACAAAAGTGAAACATGATCTGACATCATAGCAATGAAACGTTTGATCCAGGGTTAAGGAGAACCAGTGGTTTCCAAAACTAACACAATTGCCCAAGACAGAGCCATGTGAAACTTGCCACATCAGGGCAGGATGAAGAAGTAGGAAGTAAGAAACAACGAAGCAAAAGCTAAGCTCCTCTCTCTCAAGGAGCTAACAGTGTGCTGAGTGGAGCCGACCACCCACATGAAGACAACACACAAAGCGTCATGCGTGGCTTTCAGAGGATGTGTGCTCAGGGCTGGCTTCACGGTGAAGAAGGAGGCTTCGAATGGGCTTTACCTGCACTTCCCTCCTTTGCAGTGATGTCAAGACAGCCTTTGCAAAGTTATTACAGAGTTGCTTAATTCCCCTTTGACAGTCTCCTCAGGTGTGGGGAAAGCAGAAGAGACGTGGTTTTAAAATGAACTGCTCTCAGCAGTTCCACCATTTGGCTTGAAGATAACAAAAGCAACACAATCTGAGAGACAGCATGACTTTAGTGTCATCAAACTTTTTTTCTGATATGTTTGTGACAACCAAGCTGTCTTGGGTACACATCTTTAAGTTATAGATGTTACTAAGTGAGGCCAGGTAAAAGTCCAGGAAAATGCTCCCACAGGTTTAATGCATGCTCTTATTGTTGCCGTGTGTTTCCACAGTTAATTAACTGATTACTCCAATGACTTTCTTTAATGTCCTTAGTATGATTTTATGACATCTGAGTTGTGGAATATCCAACTTGGGAGTTGATTAAATGAAATTAGGGGCAGAAAAATATGAGATAAGTACTTGGTAAATGACCAAGAATGATAAACTCTTTGAGAGAATGCACAAAATCAAGTTTGCAAGGAATATAATTTTATATAACTCAGCTTAATTTTTGACTTAGAGATCTACCTCCAATGAGTTGATGAGATAAACACACACACACACACACACACACGCACGCACACGCACACACACACACACACACACACAGAGTAAAACACCATCTTTGCTCCTCCGGAATATGTTTCTTCCCCACCCCATCCTTGTCTTATGCAATATCCAGGTATGTGCATGTGCTGTTTGGGGAAGGGAATGACATTTGATCTTTGTTCACTGATCCACACGGGTTGACCCTAGATATCTTTTATTCTTGCCCCTTCAGGTCCATAAGACTTCTGCTGCTTTGGTTCCAAACCTGAGTTACAGAAATCTTTTCTAAGGCTGTCTGCAGAGCCGCCTGTCTATCCTTGCCATGGCTCAGGGGTCCTGCAGGGAAGCAGCATAAAATATTACCTGTACTTCTTATGCTTCCAGAACCC